TGAACAATGGGGGGAAATGATCAAACAAAGTAGGAACCGTCTCTGTACCTGAGAGGATGCACGAGAGAAAACACAAGAACATTATTTTACTTGGGCCTCTTCCTCTAAAGAGGTCTCTGACCTAACTGGAACATGACACACCCAGAAAGAACTGAGAGCCGGGGGTACATCTTCAAAAACATACGGGCCAAGATGCATGCTGCAAGCCCCAGTTACAAGATGCAAGGGGAGCACAGACTCACAGGCAGACACATGAACACATGCACACCCCTCCAGACTGCAGCACATCCTCTCTTGCTTGCTTCACACGTATAAATACATGGATATGCCTACTTACATATGCTTATATTGAAATGTATGTTAACTTGTATACATATACCTCTATATGTGTATAAAATACATATTGATACACATATGTAAAATAATATAGGTACATACATGAATATGAAATAGGGATATAAGTGCACTTCTAAATATACACATATTTCACACAGGCATATATAAATATAGCAAGGGAGGCAGAGTTATATGCGTATTATTTATGTGCATATAAATATCCGTCTATGAGCATATATGTAAATTAAAAAGTCACAAATACTACATAAGTATAATCATGCACACACATACAGAGCAAGGGAGACAGGAGACAGAATATGTATACATGCACTTAATCCAATGCAACTCAATTTTATTCAATTCAACTAACTAAAGTCTCTGCCATGCCATGGCTCATGCTAGGCACTAGAGCCCAAAGTTGGATGAGCATCACCAACTTCAAAGAGTGCACTATGCAGAAGGGAGACCAGGAAAAAAACGGTTTCACAATGGTTTAGCAGCTCTACCTTGAGGGTGATCAATAATACAGTTGAGCCATGCTAGTTGGGTTGTCTATGTGTTCCCCCAAAGCCTCATGAAGTCTTAGACAGAGCTTTTTAGAGGTGGCTGAATATGGAGCTTGTGACTGATTCACGGTGCAATGCTAGGCTCAAAAGCATTAGGATTAAGGATGTGAGCGATACACACCCTGAGTACTCTGGATAATATAAAAGGGGCAGAAAGGCCGTTAAGATCCCTTGTTGCTTCACTACCTTTGGTCCACCATAAACTGTTGTCCCTCTGCCATGTGCCAACCTGCCTTGGATCCAGCTGATTATGGACTGAAACCTCTATAAACCATGAGCTAAATAAACCTTTCCTCCTTTAACTTTGGGCATCTGGTATTTTGCCTCACCAATGAGAAAAGTAACAAAGACAGTTTAGATCCAGCTCCACCACTCAGAAGCTGTGACAGCAAATTTGCAAGTAAACTATAGGATCCTCATCACTGAATTAAATATCTATGACAGTGCCTTCTTCATAGGGTGGCGTGTTTAAATGATGTAACAAGTGGAAGCCTTTATGCTCCCTGGCACCCAGAAAGCACTCAATAAAAGGAAGCTGTCCATATCATGGATGTTACTGCTGTTATTATGATAAGAGAGTATAAGGATCTTTTGGAGGCCACACAGACAGAAAGGTTCATCTGCTTTGGAAGGTATCAGAAGCAGCTTGGTGGAGGAGGTGATACAGAGTTCATTCTTTCCAAGGAACAGGCCTTTGTCAGAACAAAAGGGAGAAAGGGGATTCATTCCACAGGCGAGAAAGAGTGTTTATCTGAATGTGGTGGTGCACACTGGTAGTAGCAGCCACTCAGGAGGATGAGGCAGCAGGATTGCTTGAGCCCACGAGCTCAAGACCAACCCGAGTAACATATTAGGACCTCATCTCTAAATAAATGAATGAATGAATTTGTTCAAATTTTCTAGCATGTTCAGAGAACTGGCAGTAGATCAGTATAACCAGAGTAGGGGTTCCAGTTCCAAGAGAAGCCAGAGCCAGATGTGGAAGAGGCACCAAAAAGTCCTCAGCAATTGAACAAGAAAGCCAGCTTTGCCTTTCAGGAGGTTTACGTACAATGAATTGAAACCATTTTACGATTCCAGGGTCACCATTGTGGTGATCAGACATCAGGAATGCCATTACCATAAAACACAGGCCCACTGTCATTCATGGGAGCTCTCCTCCATCCCATAAGTCTTCAAAAGCTTTTTGTTTGTTTTAGTTTTCCTAACTAACTGGCTTATTTTTCCATGTTGATTTACATGCCGCAGAAGGTTTTATCACTAATCCCTTCCAGAATGATTTTTAAAGATTCACCCTTCAAACCACAAGGAAAATCTTAAGTGGACACTTTTTAGCACTTGTCTGAGCCACACAACAATCATCCGTCCTCAAAGCACACAGATAGCGACTGCAGCTTTGCAGGGGTGGGTGTGGGAGGCAGAGCCAAGTTAGAACTGCTCCTGGGAGCAAATTAATACCCCGGACAGAAGCACTATGAGTAAACAACAGCCCATAGGAGCAGCAAGAGAGACAAAGAGGGTCGCCCAAAAGGAGAAAAATGTACACGTGCTATGGTATAAAAGGGCCAGGCAAAAATAAATTAGGGCAAAAATTCAGCAGGTGTTTGCAGGCAATGTTGTGTTAAATAAAGGGGGGAAAATCTTTCCTTTTAATGAAATCTCACCTTTTATGGGATCTTTTAAGGGAAGTTAATGACAAAGGGGGTCCCTGGGGGGGTAGAAGTTTGAGAAAGTCAACAAAACTGCTGGAATATGTCCTGATCAATTTGTTCACTCATGGGACTATTAGCCGATTCTATTATTTCTCATTGTTCAGTGTGTCTTGAGTACCTAGCATGCCAGGCTCTGGAGATGAAGAGCTGAATTAGCTTCTGCTCTCTGTCTTCACTTAGTAGCTCAACTGCTAACAGACTGAAAAAATAACTTGACACCACAGAACCAAGTGTGGTTTCCAACTAGGAAGGACTCGTGAGGGCAGGGAGAAAGTTCACTGCTATCAGGCACCTAGTATGTGCCCACTACTGTCCTAGGGGTGCTTAGCTATGCTCTCTCATTTAATCTTTCTAACACTCCTTTGATATAAAATCAGCAGGCATGAACAATCTATTTTCCTGGTCCCAATTTTCACTGCCCCATCTCAGAGAAAACAGAAGCAGTAGGTGGGAAAGTATCTTTAGACAAGGAAAGAAAGCTGAAAACTCAAAAGTTTCAGACAGCTTCACTTTAGACACACACCTCCTACCCTTCCCAGAGGTGCTGTTGAATCTGGCTTCAGATTTTTCACAAAATAAACTTTGCTCTTACCAGTCCACTTTTCCTTTAGTTTAACCCAGCAATGGCCCCAAATGCCCGTGTATTAACCCTGCTGCACACACTCTGTATACGTACTTTGCATGTCTGCATGTACTCAGATGCTGGTGTATTCAATTCAGGCCCAAATAAGGAAAGTGGTCATCCCTGCAGGACCCACCAGTGAATCCAATCCAAGTTCTGGACACCAGTGTTCTATCACTGCTGTGGGGCCACATCCTACTACTGAAGTTGCTGCCTCCTGGCGTTGCTGAGCACCAGGGGCATTCTGCTTGTTTTAAATTGTTCCAAAGCAAAACAAAACAAAAAACAAGATAGTCCTATATCAGCTCATAATGTGGGACACCAACTTCATATGTACTTCCTGGTCAACTGAGAAATTCAAAGGGACAGTTAAACATGAAAAACAGCAGCATCTCTTAATCGCTCTTTGTCTCCCAGACACTGACTTTTCTCCTGCAAAGTCAGATCAAACAATACATTACTTACTGAGCACCTACTATGTGACAAGTACTGCACAACCCACTGGACCGATAGGGTTTTTTTCATCTCTTTTTTTCAGATATTTAAAGTACTAATAGGATGCTTTAGCTTTTTACTCTTTGAGCAGTTATAACAAGCAGTGTGTCTTTAGAAGTTTAACATTTTGATGGCTACTGCAAGCTTTCTGGGAGTTTTTTGTTTTGTTTTGTTTTTGTCCCGCTATTGTTTACTACCGAAATCATTCCTTTTCTTTTCTTACTCTCTGATTTTTAGGGAGAAAAAAAAATCTAGCATCTGGGTCTGAGACCACTTCAAGTGTCTGGGCTAGGCCTGCTAATGACCTCCCAGAGATAACCCAAATTGCTGATTTAGCAAAGCCCATTCTTGACCTTGACATAAGACAAGACAGGCAAAGGGGAAGGACTTGGGAGGGCTTAGTGAAAGAAAAAGGATCATAGAAGCGCTCAGATCTCGCCAAGCCCCCTCCCCCATTCAGCAAACACCTGGCTGAGTTGGAAAACATGACCGGTCCAACCTTCCTACTGGCACCAATTGAAGCTGTCAGCTCCTACTTGTCACCAGTTGCACTGGGAGGCCCCGGGCAGCCACAAGAGCCCTAATTAGACAGAAATGACACTTCTACAAGTGACCTGCCAGGACCTTTGGCAAACCATTTAACATCATTAGTTAACATTTTTTAAAAAGTGTGAATGTAAATGAACAGCCCGTGGCTTTCAATGGAGTTTGTCGGTGGCATCTCCCCCTCCCTCCTTACTCTTTCTCTGTTCACATGAATAGTTCGCTTGTTTTCCCAGAATTGGAGGGAGGCGCTGAGGAAGAAGGAGGAAGAGAACCAGTCCTCCGAGGGGAGAGACATGCTAAGGCATAGACAAGCTCAGAACTGTGGAGAGACCATCTCTTTCTGCCTTTGTATGGACCCAAACAGAAACGCTCTCCCAGGGCCACCGGGGCAGAGCGGGAAGGCAGTGTAGCCCTGCAGGCTACGATGATGCCAGGTCCTGCTCGCTCAGCTGTGCTGCCAAGTGTGGCTGCCCAGAATTGCAGGATCCCCTTTGCTGACTTAAGGCTGCCCCTAAGACAGTGTCTCTTTCAAAGCTCTTCCCACTTGTTGGCATTCTGAACAAGGAAACTGTGGCACAGCCACTGAGCAAAGCGTCTTGTGTGCACCTAAGTTTAAAGGTACCAGAGCTAAATGTACCCAGTCCCTTTCAAAAGGAATGAAGTTCAAGGGGTTGTTATTTCAGACACCAGTTGGATACTTACACAAATCAGTTAATTTCCTACCTGCAGCAGTTATTTCCCACCTTGAATCACACTTCAGTTTGTTCTTTGCTTTACACCCACAGAATCCGTACACGCCAACACTCTCCATCTGGAGGGGGAAAAGAGTTTCACTGTGAACACCTCACTTTATCTGTTTCTGCACTGCTCTGAAGTCCCACACTCTTGTAGGTTGACAGTCTGAAGAGGCAGCCCAGGGAAGAAGAGAGGCAAAGTTGAAGGGGCACAGAGAAGCTGGGTTCCTGGGGGCTTTTACACTTACCACCTATTTGTTGTGTGGCCTTGGGCAAGGTGCTTAGCCCTGAATCTCAGATGTGTTCATCTGCAACACAGAGATAATGTCTTACTGCATTAAGTAAGGAGAAAGTAAATGGAAATACCATGAAAACTGGAAAGCATTGAGCGTTGTACAAATATGGGGACTGAGGGACAGATAAGAACTGCCCAAACCAAGGTGCCAGGTTCTTATGGCTCATTTATCTTGGAGAGATGGTACTGAGTTCGTCCTCTTGCATCCCAAGGTATGTTGGACAAAGCCACCCAGCCCATCCCAAGTTCCTCCTTAGCCGTTTCTTCAACTCTGCTTATTCTCACAAGGGCTATGAATAATACAAAGCCAAGTACATGCGTGCTAAACAAATTCTTCAAACTCCTGGTTATATTAACTGTAGCCCCTCTGCTGGGCCCTCGACAACATGGATTTCCGGAAGTCCTGTAATCAGTGATGCGTACACGGCAGATGCACAATGTTTACTAGGCTGAAACGTAAAAGTGGAGCATCCAGATGTGTGCGTCAAGCAGTGAGAATATGTGCTTCATGAAAGTGGTGCAGATCCTAAATTTGGAGAGCTTTCCTTGTTGCTAGCAGGCTGTGCGTGGTGGGAAATGCCTGAAACTGTGCGAGGGAAGCAAAAGAAAACAATCTTAGTTTGGGGCAGAGAAAAAGGGAAAATACTGCCAAGTGTCTTTAATAACACTAAATGGAGAAAGGGAAAACCGCTCATCACCGTGGAGCGTTTAGTGCTTTTAAGCTAAATACCTCAGCATATTAAGCAAATAGAGAAAAGCCAGCTAGAAGATGTCATCAAATTGAACCACACAGTGCTCAGAAAGCCTATAGGAGGTGTCTGGTTTGACCCCTTTTCCCATCACATGCCTGGTCCCAGCCTGGTTGTTTAGTATTGCGGCTCCTCTCCAGCTGTGGAGCTTATTGAAAAGCTCTGCTCCCTGCCTGGTTTTGGCACATTTTCTGCAGGTGCCTCCTACTGTGGCCACAATGGGCTGCTCGGGAGGTTTAGACCTGTCAACAGCTACAGGGGAGGGAGGGGCCGCGGCAGAGGGAGCACAGTCGTTGTCTTAAAGGGCCAGGGACATTGTGTGCCGCCACCGCAGAGGCTGCAACACTGGCACCTGCTAATGAGATGAATCCTTTCTCCTGCTCTGTCTTTCTCTCTTTAATGATTTAACTTGATCGCTTTGGTTCCCTTCTAGAAGAGGAATTGCTCCATTGATCATATAAAGTAATTGCCTGGAAAACATTGTTCTGCAGCGACTACTACTACTACTTCCCTGGCTGAAAATGTCACAGCAATTGAAAAGCTCTTAGTCTAGTTCCAGAACGAGGCTGCTACACAGCACAGTCTTTGCATACAGCCCCAAGTACTCCCATGTTCCTTGAGTTACAAGTTCGGGGTGTGACTGATGGGCAGAATTTCCCTTCTGTGGTATGGTATGATTTTTGTATGAGACTGAAGGAAACTAACCAGGCACCTTTAAAAATAAAAACTCCCTCTACTCTACAATTAGATATATTCACTCAGAGAAAGAAAACAATTTCTTAATCACTCATGCCATTCTTTTCTTAGAAGCCATGAACTCAGAAAGACACCCACACTAGCTCAGGGAGAAAGAAAGGGAGACAATGTTCTGGTCTAAGAGTTTAGGAGCACTTAGTTTTAGAAAGAGAAACTGATGCTCTAATTGTTCAGGATTTGCTGATGTTTCAGATCTGTCACTTGGCGGCAGCAGTGACCCACTGCGGGAACAGGGACCACACACTTGAGGAGTTTTCATAACTAGCTTTATTAAGTAGTCAGTGCCGCACCGCTGTGGGGAAGGAATTCACCTGGGGGATTTCTCTATCATAGGCATGAACCTGCCAGCAAAATAAACATGAAACCTGTTAGTGACAGTTTTGTCTTCCTCTGACAGGTGAAAATCTGTTTGTATCTATATAAATGTCAGACTTTTTTGGTGAAGTTGGTGGGAAGCACCACTTGCTGTATGTCACACTGCTGGTTACCAACTGGGCGACAGGTTCAGGTTAATCACTTCATCGAGATGAGACATGGATTTGGGCGAGTGGGGAGCTAATGAACTGAAGCCAACAGATATGCCTATTACTGTACTTTTCTCCCTTTAAGGCCAAAACATATGCCTGCTTACTGACAAGAGAATAGAGTGCTGAGCTACAAAAAGACTAAGTGCAATCACAAATCTGAAAAAGTCATAGGACCTTTCACATTTAAACCTTGTGAAAGATCGTGGGACGAGCTCCCTGACTGCACACAGATAAAGTGTTTGTTTTTTTTTGCTTGGAATTTAGGAACTCAGGGTTCTAGATTTTAAAGTCTTTTAATATTGTCCAAATACACTGAATATTCAGCTAAGGTAATTACACATATGACATCAAAATACACAGTATATATTTAAAAATACTTTTCCTTTATCTACTTGTAAAGAATGCAAAAAAAGGAAATTCTTTAAATTTAAACCCATTGAATAAACTGACTCTCAAATGTGAAAACTTAGGCTGAAAGCCTTTAACCAGAAACTTAAATTTCCTTTTTGCTTGTATTGGAAATTTTTGTTATCTTTTGTCTGTGAGATAATTAGACATAGAGTTAGATGATTAGCATAGAACTAGATAAAATATGGAATTAAATGACCCCCAAGTCTGCTTGGCTCTGGGTTCCTTATCTTAAAAAAAATCATATGATGAGAAACAGGCAGGTGAATGGTATGACTGCACAGCTAGTTAATTTCTTGCAGCTGTTCCTCTGACACTGGCAGGCAAGACAGGACAGTGGGCTGAGTTAAGCACCTGCAACCAAGAATTGGGAGGCCAGACTAGTGGGATAGAAGCGAACCCCTATTGGTAAAGAACAGTTCAGGAAGCTGAACTCCCCAGGAGGGCTGCTGGCCCCCAGGCTGCGTGTCCTGTCCTGGACATGCACTGTGGGAGTGAGCCTGGGCTGCCTGAACACTGTTTCCCTGTATTTCCAAAAAAGAGAGAAAAAGAAAAATTTGAAGAGAGGAAAAAAGTCTAAGCCCCTCGGCAGAGGCCTGAATGTCAAACCATCCAGTAACCACAGTACTGGCTTCACTTCCGCACCCTCCTCCACGTTATTCGTATGTGATGACATGACTCAAGGGGCCTGACTGGAATTCCAAAGTCCACAGAAAACAAAATGGTGCTTTACAACTTACACTTCACAGGGACTCCATAGCATATCTTAAAGCACCCGACTTCACAAGGTATAAATTAGCCTTTAGCTATGTAAGTTTGAACTTCATTCCAGAGTTTGTAAAGTGATTGGCCTTGTGTTTAAAAATAGAAGAATGCATTTTAAAATGTTGCACTATTCCTACCGTAATGCACATCTAACCAATGAAATGTACACAGAATGACAGGAGTGACCGGTCTGTGTGGTAACTGCTAACATTCTTCATAATTCAGATTTGTAAATTTACTTATGTGGTGTGAGCCAGCTATTTCGACCTGGGCATTTTATTTATCTAGTAAATCCTTGTGTTTACATTTGCTACTTATACGAATCTCACCCACTAAAATTTAACACACAGAAATGCTAATAACCTTTACATTTCGACTCAAAGCTACCATCCTGTTGATGGGTAACAGTACCTGTGGAAATGCTTGTATACAATATATAAGGTGCATCTTTATTCCAGATAGAAAATTGTCAATCAGTACTTCTCATTATGGCTCCTGAATCAAGGTAGGATCATTGGCTAAGGGAAAAGAAATATTTTACTATCTATGTCTTCGCAGAAGACATAAGGGTAACATTTTGACGACAGTGTTTATGATGAAGTCAGACATTACTGCAGTTAAGTGAGCACTTAACTCTCCCCTCTGTGAAAAGGCTTGCTCTACCTTGTTTCCTAGAATTCCACCTCAAAGTTTTCTTTCTTTCAAATGTCAGAAATCACTGAGTAGCCCAAGGTGGTGTTTTCCATATTTCTGTTTTTCTCTAATTGATGTAGATCACAGTCCTTTCTTCCAATCGTATCCTTCCAGAGTTACAGCTTATTTTAAAATATCCAACTGAAATGGATGCACTTTAATCAGCACAAGTGTGACCCTTCTCTAGGGCTGGTTAAGATGCCTACTGTACACAAAATTAAATTTTTACCTATACATTTTGTCAAAAACGGTTGAGACACAAGAGAAGGACGAGTATAATCCTCAGGTCTAAATTTAGAGAGCAAAGCTAATCTATCATAAATATAATCACAACAGGGGCCAATCGGGATGTGGCAGCTGAGCCTTAGTCCAGAGGTACAGGCGTGTGTGGGACAGATCTGACCCGCCAGCCAGGGTCTCATGCCAAGAAGGACAGTGCTTTTCTTCCCTTGGCATCAGGGACTGAAAAAGTGTGAAAAATCTGAGGCATGTCCCTAGTGCGACCCAGTCAAACCTGGACAGCACACATCAGGACAGGGGAAAGGGCGCAGGCACACACACAAAATGATTTTTTTTTGTTCACATCTAACAAACAATATTTGGAGATAGGCTCTACAGTAAATATAAATCACAGCGTCTTATAATTTTGAATTCTCCATTTAGATTACATCTCCTGCTTTTTCAGATTTATAATTATCTCCTCAAAAAGGCAACTAATTTTCCGATATTAGGTTTTTCAGCAGTACGTAAAAAATTAATTGAACAAGTATTTTTCTTGCAAAGTTCTTTGTTAAGAATTCAAAATGGCTGTATTTTCAGTGAAGCAATAAATGATGGTACTCAGAACAATATTCGTTCTAAAGCATATAAAATGGTGAACACACATTTTATTTAGTCATAAGATCATTCTTTAAAATAAAAAAGTAATGGTTACAACCCTCTATTCTTAATCCTAAAAACTAAAGTCTTTGATTTTGCATTCTCAAAATCAGCACAGGAACTTTATACTCCTGTCAGCTTGGCTATAAAGAAAACAACTAAAGTTCAGGTCAGATCCACACATTAAGATAATTCCCAAGAAGTGTTGGCATAGAATAATTTTATATCAAAAAGAA